CCGCTTATCCTGCTCACAGCTACTTTCTCACTGAGGTATGGAACAGCTAACATGTCTGTCACTCATTCACCCGGCTACATTCCTTCTGGACACATCTCTTTCGTTTTGTGATCAAAATTGAGAGATATTTCATTGATTTCGAATAACAAATTGAGTCACCTGTGCTGGGAAGACATGCTCAAGGTCATGCAAAACTTTACCTAATAATGTTCATTATTAATGATACTTCAAGCTTAATTTGGAGACCAAAGACTTCCCTTCACTTTGAGTGCTTTGAGTCTTTTATGCCAGTTGAATTTTAGATTTCCTTTTTTGTAGTTTTAAATATAACCAAAATGTTTCAAAATATCTTTTCAACTTGATGTTTGCATTACACCATAGAAATAGGGACACGTGTCTGTGTTCACACATTTTAGCCTCAAAACTATCCTCTGAGATGAGCGATATATCATTCATTTAAAAGGATTGCCCTAATTTCTCTGTTCCTTTGACTTCCTTGTCACCCTCTTTCATGCAACAAAGTAAAACAGATTCCCTGTGCTGACCGGCTAACCCTCCTCTCTGTGTGCTGCCACCCACAGACCGCAGTCACATGCTGCTGACAGAGAGGCTGCCTGACCTCTCTGACGTTACAACACACACCTCTTACTGTACAGGTTATTGTTCACAAGCTCCCTGCAGGGCCGAACATGTGATGCATGACGTCTTTATGCTTTCTCACCGGAGATAAATCTATCAAGTGCCTTTGACACAGAGTTACCAAATCAGTGGACAGCTGTGTGTAGGGACTGTGCGTCCGTGTGCCAGATGCTGTTAGATATTAGATTACACAGACGTGTCTTTATGACCCAGGTGTTGTTTGTTAGGGAAAGTTAGGGGCTTCAGAATGAGGCAAGAAGCTGCAAACTAAAACACAAAATTAGTCAAATGTCCAAAAAAACAATGGCAACAAATCAAGTTAATGAAGAACGGCGCCAATGTTGTATAAATGTTTCTGTTGATTGTGTATATATAGGATATACATATTTTTAAATATATTTGTATTTTTGTATTCAGGATTGTGGGAAAAGGTATTTCGATCTCTCTGTCTGTACACACAAAGATTGAAAGATTGTCAATAAAGTGACTCGTTCATGTGTAATATTTTACTGTTTGACTTTGACTTGAATGTTGGAAATAAAAAAAGACAATTATGGTTTGTATTCAAGTAAGCAGAAAGGCAGTTCTTTAAAGTCAAAGAAAGAAAATGGAAGTACAGATCCTCAGTGTACTTTATGCTGTAAATTGTTACCATTTACCAAATACTGTCCAAAATGTTACCAGATGAGAAAGATATCTAGCCAGCACAAATGCCTCAGCAGCAAGAGACTCTTCAATTGAATGATAACATATAGTTTTCCTGGTTCCATTTTACCTTGCTGATTTTTATATCTGTTTTAGATCAGTAATGTGCAGAGCAGCTGCAGAAAACTGAGAAAAGCCTCTGTATGAATCAAGCCGCTAATCCTTTTCCCAGCAGACAAAAAGACTTAGTTTATTAACAGATAAAACACTGCCTGATTCACTCTGTAAAGAAAGACAATAAACCTAGATTGCAGCGTGACGTTCTGTTTTTTCATCATTTGCACGACAGTGTTTTCTCCTAAAAGTCGACCACAGTGGCTTTCAGCACCAGCACGCGACATTCTGAAACCCTTTGCAGTATTTTAGGCAGTTGATTGGCTTTTATGAATAAACTAAATGACACTTTAGGGATGATATGTTCACTATACTTTAAATGCACAGACATTGTAATTATTGCAATAGTTTATAAGATGAGAGAGAGAGAGGGAGAGAGAGAGAAAACCGTCTTTGTGAAATACAAGTGGCGGTCGAAGTGATTCAATTAAGCATCTGGGCTTGTCTCTGTGGAACCTTATTAAACTAAATGAGCCAAGACTCCTTTGTTTCTGCTTGTCATGTCTTGCATGGTGCTATTGTTCTGTAGCCCTCTGCCCCACAATTACCCACCCTTAATGATCACTGTGAGATCTAATATCTGGGGGCAAGAACTCGACTAATTATCTCTCTCTGATTCTCGGTTTCTCTCTCAGTGTGTGGTTGTATCACTTGAATTGTTACTCTATTAAAAGCCCAGGATTACTGCTGAGTGTGTAAAACTGCAAACATCTAGCGTAATGCTAATTTAAGACCGGACTTCTGAGTGTCCGACATGTGACCACTTCCTTCCAGACGACCACATTTTGAAACTTCAAATACCATTAGGTTAGCATTTTCTCTGTGCTAGATTCCTCTTTTTGGGGCTATAGCCTTACTTTGAAATTACTTGGAAGTAAAACAGAAGTTCACTTATGCTTGTACAGGCTGAGTGCCAATCCTGCATCAGCAGTAGGCCTACTTTAGGGTTTCTTATATCAATGAACACGATTTGCAAATAATACCTTTTATGGTTATAAAGTCTTATTCTGTGAACTATATGTCAACATTAACGGATGGGATAAAACCTAATGACTTTGGTGACTAGGATTTTTTTAACACTGTCCTCCCTTCTTTACAGTCTGTGGTGTTTCACCAGATAAAAGACTATCAATCTGACATGGCTTGCAAAACAAGACATAAATCTCTGCAAATGATTTCATCCAATAAATGGAGTGTAAGATGTCTCTGGATGATCTCAGTCTTTCACATCATCAGTATTTGTAAACACAAACAAACATCTCCCCATGTATAACAGACATGTGGGCAGGATTTCACTTCTACGCTTGTGATGAAACAATAATTCAAACAAACAGGGTTCATACACTTTTTCACCAATGATTTTCAATGACTTCTCCATGACCTTTAACCTCATTTTCCATGACCACAAAAATGACTATTTTTCAGCGGTACCACATGGAACAGGAGAATAAGGTCTGCATATGAAACATGTTGTGCCTAATCTAAAACAAATCAAATAGGCTTACTAGCTTCTACACGCTAAAGCAACTAAAATCTCTCCCCAGCATAACACCTCTACAGTTATTAAATGCCATTTTACGTTTCATTACTATACGATACAGTATTTATTATCATTATAGTATTACTATTTCGGCGATTAGATAAAATATAAATTATATTTGATGCAACTTTAGTTACATTTCCATGACTTTGCCAAAACTTTGGGAAAAATATTGTTTTCCATAACTTTTCCAGGGCTTGGAATTTGCATTTGGAATTTCCATGACTTTTCCAGGTTTTTAATGACCGTAAGAACCCTGAACAAAGCTGTTTTTGCCACAAAATTACTATGTTGGCTGACAGTTTGGGACTGAGGTTTGGAATTCAGGTTGGGGAATTACAGGAAACTCCAAAGACAAGTCTGCCTTTGTGTGTTTGTTTGTGTGTTTATGTGTGAGTGAGGGAGTGGTTGATCTTTCAAATCCTTCTTCCCTTTGAGGTAATCCCTCTCCTCCTCGAGTCTATTGAAAAGCTGCTCCCTACCACCTCCTTCACATACTTTAGTTTAACTTTGTGCGCCATATCATCTCAAATTTTGAAAGACTTTGGGACCGAGTTAAACCCCTCACATATAATCGTACTGAACAGCCATTTGGTTTCCCAGAGCCAATTATTCTGTGATTGGCTTGATTGTTTCTCTAATATTGATAACAGATAGGAATTACTGTAAACAATTGGAAATATGGGCAATGACCAAAAGGTAATTGGATAGACAACACACCAAATTCAATGTAAAGTACAGAAATATTATCAAAATATATGAAAAGTACCAAATGTTGATCTGCAAATACATTTAAATAGTGAAGTAAAAAGTACAATATTTGTTATTATTTTAGAATTGTTGGGAGTATAAGTAGAACTTAGAAAATTGAAATACTTAAGTAAAACATTTAAGGAAATGTACCTATTAGTAGAATTATTCTGCTATACGTGCAGTATCACCATTCAAGTTCTGGCTACAGATGGACCTGAATGTTCATGTTTTTTTATTGTCTTTGTTTAGCTTTGTCTATATTTGTATCCGTCTGTATATTTGTTCTTGGCACTGGTAAACAAATAGTTTGGACAGTAACGTTTTTTGCCTATCTGAAAAATTGGGACAAAACATATCCTGTTAGTAGCTGGTGAAGACAGGAATGATGAACAATGTAGCTGTTGTTTCAGTTAATCTAAGTTTGTCAATCTGCACTCTCCTGAACAATTCAAATGTTATTCTTCCTAAATTGTGCTGGAATTTCCTTTTAAATAACAATTTGTGGTCAACAACAGTTTGCATTGGAGTTCCTGTCAGTGGACTCTGTGGCTTGACATCATTGTGCCAAGTTTGCTACTCACTTGTGATGCCGTTGCTCACCGTTCCCATTAGCTCATTTACTGTCAACACGACCATTTAGCACACCAGCTTCCATTGTGTAAATGTTTTGGTTAAACTACTTACATTCTTCTTGGTAACTGAAGCCTGTAACTAACACCTGGGCACATGTGACATACATCATTAGGGTTTGGGTTCAGGAGGACAAGCCATGGATTTCTCCGCGTGATTCCATTAGTCATGTGGAGTGACTCACAGCAGCTTCAGCTACTGTACAGAAAAAGATCCTTGTGCTTTTCCAAATCACATTACATTATTAACTTCTGGGTATTCACTCAGATTCTTAGCAATGAGTTGGAAAACACACAACACCTGACTGTGGATCATGTGAAAAATTCCTCCAGATGTTTTTGTTTTCGGGTGTGAAAAAACTACAATTAAAGTAATTGCAGGAAACTAGAAGAAGTGATGATGACAATCTTTTTTGTTATTGGTCCTCTGGAGCAGTGTCTCTTTTGTTGCAACAGGAAAAGTATCATTGAGAGGAGGGGAACAGGTTGACAAAAACTCAGTACAAGAAAAAAGGGAACATGTGGACACTAATGAATCCTGTAATAGTCTGCACCGGTTTTAGACGCACACACAAACTATGATTATGCTACTGTACGGAAGCATAAACTGATTCCTCACACAAATGTGATAGTGGTTTATTAAAAATATGGTATAAATAAATATGACACTTCTTATACACATCAGGTTACATCATTCAGATGAGACTGGAATACACTGGATAGACACTTCTCTTCAGTACAAAATTATTTCATAACATATTTCAGTAGTTTTCTCATCTCCCTTAGCTTGCCAGGACCTGTCAGAGCAGTATGTTTCATTTACAGCAGCTACATCATTACAGTGTAAAACCACCAAGGCTTAAAGTAGATTATGTCAAGGAACAGGCTTATCAGAGGTAAATCATTAGTATACATACCAGCACTATATTCAGTCAAAGAAAATCTCAGTGATTTGTAATTATTTTCACGAAGGGACTGTCAGTATTTTTAAAAATGCACTTCTTGTGCCTGTCTGTTTAAGGATAAGCTGCTTGATGTCCTGAAAATTATGTGGAACCACCAAACTATTCAACAGTAGGTTGTTGTAGATATATTACATAATGAACTTAAAATAAAAATTGTAATCACTGAAGTGAAATCGGGTAAATTACAGTGTAGATTTGTGTCATCCTTAAGGTCAGGGCATTGATTTTTTTGTACACACTTATTTAAATAATGCAAAAATAAGTATGATTAAAAAAACTGAAAAACAGTGCTAATATTTTGAGCAGTGGGATTTGTTTACGCTATTAAAAACGTTTTAATAGTAGTACCAAACAAACCATTTCAATGTCTCATTTCAGTATTCAGCCATTTGTGACAAAACTGTCTTTTATCATATTGAAACCCTGTAATGTTAAACAAAGACCTCAGTGATTGACAAAATATGCAACCCTCATTAAAGGTAACATGGAGTAAAGGACTTAACAAAATACCTGAGTTAAAAAAGTTAATATACTATGATATATAATACACAACAACAATATAAAATATGCACAATCAATTGAAATGCTTCGACTTTGTGCCAGTGTCAGTCTTAGTAATTCAGTTTCAAGCCGCTACTAGCACCACCTTCCACTCTGATGATAATAATAACCTATAATGGAAGAGACTTCATCGTGCATGAGGACCAGATAACAATGTGAGTGATTACCAAACACAGGTTACAATTGAACACAATGATGATCACTTTATAAATGTTCAATGCTGAACAAATTCTGACCCTCCAACTCAATATACAGCAGTGGTTGTAAACCACTGAGACTCAATAAAAGGGTATCTGTTTTATCCTTACTTAAAGCTGCACCAATCATTTTGGGGCCACTAGGGGGTAGAGCACCTCAAAACAAGCTAGCACAACCTTGACATACAGTTGTATGGTCTTTTGTTTTAGTTCTTTATTTAAACCGTTATCAGAAAAAGTCCTAATTATGCATCTAGCCAAAAGTGCTTCATTATGGCCATATTGGGACCTTTTGGATTAGCCCATATCAACTCTCAGACAAAGCAATCTTGGTCTTTACTTGCTAACCACAAGCTAAAAGAAGCTAAAAGGCTCCATGAAGCTGAACAGTTGGAAATGTAAGGTTTGTTAATACAAGTAACACCTTAAACAAAATGCCAATTTGTTTTGGTATGAATAGAAAAAAAGACAATTTATTGCCACCCTATTTGAGTACACAACCACTTTTGTTGTCAAAACAAGTAACAGTATTTTGCAGAGGATATAGTTTCCAGTCGGCTAGTAAAAGCTCATACCCAGTACTGATTAATCTGCAGAGTGGGAGTGGTGGTTCTAATAATTTCGGAAGACGATGCAGGGGAACCGTTCTTCCAAGAACTTAAAAGTATGTTAGAATCAACAGTGTTATACGCCGAACCCTGATTTGTCGTCAATAAGCGATCAAACAAGGGGCTATTTGGGCAGCTGGGGTTTAATGGAGTGACAGTCACCGTGGGAACTGTTGGGCTCCTCTGGGGTTGACCATGGTAGGACTGACTGCTTGGAACATCAGTGGAAGCGGTCTCTTTTGATGAGGAAGTTCTCCGATGCCTGTGGTGTCGAAGAAAGACAACCAAGACTACAAAGATGATTATAAGCAACAGAAGTGCCAGCAGTGGTAAGATGACCAGGAGCGGACTGGAGGTTTTTTGAGGGTAGGACTCTACTCGTACAGGTGTGTTCCTAAAAGGGAAGTCCTCTGTTCCCTGCGTGGGCTTGCCAAGAGTCGTGCTAAATATGCTAGTTCTGTTGGAGTTTCCCCATCGGTTGCGTGCCTTGACCTTTTGCTGGTTTTTGCTTGTTTGCTGGGTGGAGAGGAAAGCTGTCGACAGGACGGGCGAAGCAGTCCCATTTCTGGAAGTGTGGATTGGAGTCCGAGGAACAGATGATGTGGTTGGAACGGGACTCTTTGTGGTTGAAAAAAGTGCTGCATCATATGGCACAACTGTAAAATGGAACTCGCCTTTAGCAGGTTGGACGTTATCAGCTTTCAGTACGAACACCAGTGAGTCATTTAGCTCTTGAACTCCCGTCATGTTTGCATTCAGCTGCAAGGCTACCATCTCCTGCATCACCTCCTGAAAGGTGAAGGACTCAGCCGGTACAGCTTTCTTGGACATTTTAGGTTTTGTCCAAACAACCTTCCCATACTTAGGATGGGAGATAATTTCAAATGTAGGGTCACTATTACTGATATTAGCCAGTTCAGAGGCATTAAGAAAGCCAGCGTTGAGTTTGACAGCAATACCATTTGGAATGCTAAAACCTTTGCCAACCTGGATTAAAGGTCTGACTGTTATGTTAAACACTTGATTGGTCAAATTTGCCTCTGAAGTGAAGGCAGTGAATACAAAGCTATCCTCTGCAGAGGATAGGGAGATCATGTGGTAGGACAACCTTCCAGTCTGTAGATCCTCCTGTTCAAACGTTGTCACCTCTTGGTTGTCCTTCAAAAGCTTGCCAAAATGTGGAGGCTTTGTAATCTGGTAGTGTATGGTGAAGTTTCTCCCATTGGTCTCAGCAGCAAGGTTGTGTTGGGTCAGGGATACTGAAGTCTTGCTTTGCTCAAGTGTCAATCCAGTGTAGTTTACTAGAGAAATTGTGATTTCCGTCACTTCTAGGTTAAAGAGTTTATATATTGGTTTATGATGGCCATCCGTCACACTGAAGTAGAACACCCCTGACACTGAGCTTCCATCATGGATGAAATAGACACTTCCATTGTTGATTTGGGCTTGAGTAAAGGTCTCAACCGACTCATTCAAATGTCCTCCAAGAGCTAGGTAGCCATTGTTTGGCTTGCTAATCACAGAGAACTTTATATCACCGGGAGGATTGTCCAAATCTTCAACTTTGAGGTTCTCAGGCCTGAGGGCTACCGTATCTCCTTGTACCACCTTCAGACTTGGAGCTTTGGTTTTTAGCAAAGGTGGCTGATCGTTCACAGGTGTGATTGTGATGTTAAAATACTCCTCAACGATATCAATGTCATCTTGGGGACGCTGAGCAGTTTTCCCCTTAGGATTTAACCATGTACTGAATACAAAAGAATCATGAGTTGTCTCTGAGTTGTCGTGCTTGTAGGTAATGCCGTATTTGTTAACGATGAACTGGGAGAAGTTAGGTTTCTCTTTGGTGAGGTTTCGCTCTCCTACCACTATGACACCATGCTCAGGCAGAGAGGTCACCTGGAACCAGACCTCATGGGAGCTCCGCTGAGGTGTCGGCAGCTTGGACATCAGGTTAGAGGCATCCAGCTTGGATTCATCGATGATGACACTCTCCCCTTCAGTTACCTCAGCACCTAGCACCAAGCAAAACAAATAACACTTATCACCAAGGACAACAGTGTTACATGTTTTAAAATAAAAACAAACACAAGAGCATAGTCAAAAAGAAATCTAGCCATTCTTCTCTAGGGATGGGAGATTAAATGGCAGTTGATGGCTAAACAGGTATTTTTGTAAACATTGTTTTTTCTATGCCATTTTGGCCTTTTGTCCAAACAGTGAAAACAAAGCTTTTGTATGCTGTTTCTAGTGTTGACATGTCGTTTTTGGCTTGTAGTTTCAGAGTGTGTGCCAATATGTTCTTGGTGAGCTGATGGGTCCACCAATTTGTTCCAGACTGAAGTATTTCTGCTATTAAATCAAAAGGAAGACATTTGTGGTAGCCAGTAGATAAAGCCTACTGGCTTCGGGCATCTCATGACTTTACCACTAGCGCCATTTCAAACTCAATATTTGTCATTTCCATTGAAATATCTCATCAACTACTGGATGGATTAGCAGGAAAATAAGTATGCACCTTTAATATTACCATCAGTGGGAATTGTAATACCTTTGACAATCCATTAACCTTTCATATATCATATGTTTCTTTTAAAATAATATTATTCCTATCATCTTATCAGCTCTTGCTATACTGTTCTTCATACCTTTGTTTGCAAGCAAGACTGTGCTGTGTTCAGGTCCGGTATTCTCATAGGAAATGTCCATTTTGAAGGTCTGGCTGTCCAGAGTTGTAGGCGATGATGCCACAGAGAAGGTCATGGAGTCCATGGCTTCCCAGCCCACTGACTCGATGGGGGTTTGAATGAACACGACTTCCTTCCTATCCACCTAGAGTAAAAGCCACCACAGATCTTTCAGAGAAACCACGATCCAAAATCAATTCACATCAACATATTTGCACAACATGCAGATTAGCCATCCTTAAAGTGAACTAATGGCTCGATCAACTGTCAGAACAGTTCAGTAGCCTAAATCACCGTTCTGAAAGATGTAAAGTTTGTATAGAGCCCATTATTAATTTAAATCTGAGATGCTCAGCAGTAAATAAAGTGCACAGAGCTTCACAGCTTTAACTGTGTCAGAACAAAACCATCAGCAATAATTGATTGCATAAAAGCCTTAGAGTACATGGTCCATTCAGCTAAAGAAGAGCAAAGTACATTTATTGAATGAGGATGCAGACTATCTATTATTCATTCCATGAAAATCTCCAGTTCTTCACTCACCATGTCTTGTGTGAAAGTGGAAATATCCACTGTTGAATTGTCAGGCTGCCTCGTCACCAGACGCCCAAGTTTAGGCTGCCGAATCACACTGAATGTAATGATGCGGGTTGAGGTGTTGCTAATATCATTGGTCACTGCTTGTAAGTCCTCATTGGTGATTGCAGTTGAAGAGCCTGTGGAAGAGACGTGAAATTAAATCAAGAGTAATGCTGGTGAGTTGGCTTAGATAATTGATCATCAAACTATATCTGTCAAGAAAATTAGCTGTATTTGTCTGGTGTTCAGTTTAGCTGTCACCACGCTGTTAAGATCTGTGGCTGCATCAAATGTTGCAAGTTTTCCCCTCTGGAAGCGTTTCACATCTTTTTGACACCAAATTATGCAAAGAAACGCACTGGAATAGACCGATGGGAGCCCTTTGAAGTGTCAAATTAAAGCGGCACTGCAGACATCACAGGCTTTTACACAATGGTCCAACTGCAGTGCAGGCTGTTATATAAAATCCAAACAAGAAATTAAAAGTGGATCAGCTCCTTGAAGGCACGGAAATCTTCCACTTGGGGAAAAAGTAAAAAGAGTAATTTTCTGTGCATGATGACGGGGAGTACTGTGAGCGTTTTTTCCTCTTAACATGAATTACAGAAGATTTCCATAGATGTGCTGCCACTAAGAAGATTGTGAAGATCCTAAAAAAGAGTGCCGATAAACGATGAAAGGCAATGATAGAGGGAAAAAGGGGCTCAGCACAGTGAATTCATTCATCACATATCGTGAGCACTCCCACCATCCATGACTGTCTCTCATGGGAAATGAACCTCTTAAGAAGGGAGAGGGAGAAACCAACTTTCTTGTCTTTTCACAATGAAAACCTGTCCTGCTCTTAATCGGCACATGATGTGTTTACTATATTGTCAGATATTTTGTTCAGGATTTTGTGATGGTAGTACATAGAGATGTAAAATGTAAAATGCCAAACACTATTAAAATACTTCTTCACAGGAAGTCCTGTAGTTTAGTCTTTGCGAGTCTAAGTGAGCCACATTGGGAATTTGAAAGGGACAAATAATGTGTGAAACATCCTACAAACACAGTGCTCAAACAACAGGCCACAAATATTACCCAACTAAAGGTCATGTTTTTGAGGCATATGGGATAATATCTTTAAAATTATAATGATGAAAAGAGATTAGAAGGATAAAGCAATTTGGGAGTGTGATAATCCATATTAGAATATCATTAAGGTATAACAATATTCTTTTTCACATTTATTTTCTTCCTAAAATCTCTCTTTTCAACATTATTATTGTACTATTGTGTACCACAGTCCAGATGAAAGAAGATCTTAATTAATGAAAATGGTTAAACTTTCTTCTAGGATGGTTTTAGAAAGATTGTGCTACAAGAAATTAGCTGCCAAGTGCTTGGCAGACTTGTATTGGTGATTTGTTGTGGATGTAAGAAGGCTAAAATGAAGGAAGACCTGCAGACAATACTGCTGAGAAGTGTACTGCTGTATCCAATTGAACACAAGTCAATCTCTTTCTCATGATTGAACTTGTACTTTTATTTTTTGGAAAATAAACTGAATTGATTGCTGCACCATACACTTTTCAGAAACTTAAAGTCCTTTGTTAAACATAGATTTAAATTCTCGGGCGTACACTTTTGACACCAAATCTACACCCTTAGTTATCCCCATATTTAAAAATGATCACTTCTACCATCCGTTCATGTCTCCATTTGGAAAAACACTTAAAAATAAGAAGTTCTGTGTATTCAAAAAGACGTTGAAGGAAATGCCATGGTATTTCCAGGCAACACCACAATGAATGGTTTCAGGTAAACGCTACATAAGGCATATGAAACCATTTAGTGAGGAGTCTTTGCACAGAGAGTTAAAGATTGTGCAAGAAGAAAGGAAAACATTAATCTCACCTCCACTGTGTGAAAGTGTTTAACGTCACCCCTCACCCCATCAAAAACCCTTCATTGTCAGTTAAAGCCCCCCCCCCCTTTCTGCCTCGCCTGGCACACAGCACCAACAGGGCTGCCTCAGACAGACAGAGGCACAGCTTTTCAAGTACCCACTCACCCTGTGGCGGGGGAGATCAGCGGAACGTGCCAGTTGGCAGTTTGCTGCCTTCACAATACCCTTCCCTTCTAATTCACAAACCAGACCACTGGAAATCTCGGGGAAATCGTGAAATGCGTTTATGGACACAGACAAAAACCAGCATGCTAAAAGTAGCAAAGTGTATATCAAAACATGAAGCAATGTCTGAGGATTCACGAGTCTGGTATTAGTGTAAAGTAATGACAGATGGAAAGGTGCTGAATTATTTAACTGAAGGGATTCTGAGCTAAGACTGTAGAACATACAAGCAGGGTAAATCCTACTAAATACGGCAAAATGAGAGGAAAAGCGCACACACACAAATCTCCAGCTGAGCCGTAACAATGAAAGCAGAGAAGAGGAAATCAATACAGCTAAAAATTGCCTCTGAGGGAGGATGACTGAGGGACGGAAAAAAATAAGTGGTTTCAGTTCATCATGAGAGCAGCCGATTAGTTTCAACATGAACAAATCTGGTGATCTCATATTGGGAGAATGGATAAAACACAGATACAAAAGTATAGGCAGAGCTTGAATAGTTTAAAAAGCAAGTGTGGTTTGTACATGGGAAGAGGAACAATATCAAAAAGAAAGACTAGCACATTGTTAGATTTGTTTGAGTTTTTAAAACTATTGAACATTATTCTGAAAGGATAGGCTCTACTCAGATCAGAGGGGGGATGTACCTGGAAACACCTTGATTGGACGGTTGTTCTCTAAGCTGAGAACTAAGGCTCTGGCAGTGATGCTGAAGATCTGCCTGGGAGTGAAGTTCACACCATCGTTCACTTGGAAGTTGAATCCTCCAGACATGGCACCTGGAAATGCAATTAAACAAAACAATTAAAAGCTGTTAAGAAGACTAAGAGGCAAAGTTGATGGATGACTGTTGCAAGGAACAAACAACATCTTAGTTTTGTTATCAGCTACGTCTGGTTTCTGCAAAATGTGCAAAAAAAAAGCACTAAGTCAGCGTTCCTAATGCTAGTCTCTCAAGAAAAACTGCAATACAAGCTAAACATGATTATTCTTAGTCAACAATGGAATAGATATGCTGAACTAAACATTTGTTAATACTTGTGTAGGTGTGTGTAAAAAATAAATGCATTATTCAACATATTGGCTAGGGTAAGTCTCTTTCACACAATGTCATTGCTACATTTCCTGTTGGGACAAGTACAGAAAGAAAGAAGTGGATAGGAATCAGAACAGTAAGCAGAAACCCGATCTGAGACTGATAACATCAAACTGAGTTCCCAGACTATTTTTGTCTGTATTAGTGTTGCAAGAAATCAAAAATACAATTGTTCTTGCAGATGACTATGCTTCAATGTGAGTTGTGAAATGTAAAGCATATCAAACTTTAAAGAATTGAAAACAGCATCTTCTAGTGGACGTAAAAGGTACAACAACTTTTCTATTATCAATATATATTACAGTATGGCTGATGCTCAATACCATGTTCCATTTTTCAACTTTCATGACATCAGAACCTCACATAAACTAAACAAAAATATCAAATACATCTTATTGTTTGTTTTCAATACCATTTGTTTGAATCATTCATTTGTACCAAAGAATGACAATATGATATCAGTAAATTAACAAATACAGATCTACTGAATGTATCGCCCGTATTTGGCAAATGGGATTTTCCTCTTCGAGACTGTTGTCAGAAAAAACAACACACACAAAAACCTGTTTTTAATATAGGTTTTGTAATTTTTAATTTGGGGAGAGACCCATTATATAAGTCTACAGCTTCCTGACCCCTCCTGTAAAACCTCTTTCACTTATGTTGTCAGTTGTTATGCTATCTGTAAATGTAAAATGCAATTCCTGTTATCTCTGATTAAAAATGTTTCTTCTCCAGCCCTGTGTGGTGGTAATTCTTCAGTAGGTCATAGAAAACAGATTGCACCTTTGTGAACAAACAGCAGCTGCCCCTGGTCGATGTGAGCCTGGGTGAAGTTGAGCAGGGCCTTCATGGGGGCACTCTTCAGGGCCAGGTGACCGTTGCTGGGGGGGATCACCATGAAGTGCAGCTCCTCGGGGGGGGAGTCCCGGTCTTGCGCTCTCAGATCCTCCGGCCTGATCTCCATCACAGAGGACACCCAAACCTGGACACAAGATGGACAGGTACACAGGTGTCACCTTTAATCTCTGTGAAAATATAGACCTCCAGGGAAACATTTGGTCTGACAGGATGTGGGGGCAAGATAACAACATCTGCCAGTTTGACATTTATTTTGATGGACGTTATGAAATACTGTCATATTTTTCCCAACATTGGGACAAAAGACCTGCATTATTTATGACAGAACAGGATCATTATTCATGTACCTCAGTTTTTTTAAATGCACATTTATGTAACACCTACGTTCTGCTCAGATATAATGCCATTGAAAGGAAGCATGACAAATAGAAGGCCAACGTTAACAGCTCTGATGATGAATGACGTCCTCATTCATCATCATATACAATGAACCCAGGATGCTGTGGGTGTGAGTCCAGCTCCAAGGCTATTTCACATGTTTCTCTCTCCTTTTCTTGTCTCTCGTCATTTTCCAACTGTGCAGTACAGCATTAAACCAAGCAGAACTGCCATCAAAATAATCTCCTGATGAGGCATCTAAATACGGTGAGACAATAACAACCAATGGAAGAATATCACTCGAGTCCTGTTCAACAACATCATTCGAATAAGGGCCATCTCAGGACTAAATATAGCGGTGCACACTGTAGAACAGAGTTGGGTGTGCTGCAGTGTTGGTGAGGCACAGTTAAGGTCCTGCTTCCATGAAAATTCAAAAGTCTAGAGCTAACACGAAGCAACAGAGGAGCTCATTGACACACAGAGCACAAAACGACTGAAGCGTGCAGACACTTGACAACAAAGCACGAGTCTCTATTCTCCGGGCCGGAAACTATGACATAACATGTCATTGTCTCTCACACAAGTTATGATTCCACTGTAATTACTGAGGAAATTCAAAGAAAATCATGAAAATATGGTTTTCTGATTTCTCGATAGCTTTTGACTTGTCATAGTAGAAAAAGGTTATTCTAATAACATTCACAATAGTGCCATTCTTTTCAGGTATCTTATTAAGTCGTGACACAAGGCCAAATAGTATTGTTGAACAATGCATGCTTCAAATCTATAATTACATACTATAGTATGCATATATAGGTCTAAATTAGTGTTATTCATTTTGAATGTCATATTAGTTGGTATGAAAAGCACTTTTTATTATTTTTGGTCACTAAGGGTAATGGGAACCAGTTAACACTGAAAGAAAATAACACATTTAGCAGATACAAGGCAGCAGTATCTCTGATTTTGAGTTATTTTTCTGGACACCTGGTGAATGTGATTCAATATCCTTTGAACTATGTATTAGTCTCCGTTGAATCCTGAGTGAGATGGTGAATAGTGAGATTTTGTAGTTTTTGGCTCAAAACAGCTGCCTGCTGTGGCTGGAAATGATGTTGATAGGTAAGCCAAAACCGTAAAGTTGTGGGCTTAAAAACAAAAACAATGATGTTCAATCAATCAATGTTTATTTATATAGCCCAATATCACAAATATTAAATTTGTCTCAGTGGACTTCAGTTTGTACAGAATATCAGTATGGCAATACGACACCCATGTTGTGTAGAGTTGAGGGGAACCTCAGGGATGTAAGTCTAAAGGCTAATCTATTATAGCATCTTAAATACATGTTAATGTTTGGTCTCAAAAACCACACCGATTGGAGCTCAAGGACTGGATTATATCCCTATATACAGTATCATTAGACGGTCCTTTTTTCAATAGTGGGTGTCCTTTTTAGGCTGTTTTTCTGTTGTGTGTTGTCAGCCACAAGATATTAAGTGTATTATTTATAAACTGTGTGAGCACAGTAACATCTCTCTTCAAACAGGAACTAACTAAACTAGCGTTTTACTTCGCAAGTTTCTACTGCTGCTCTCTGAATGTTAGTTTACGTGATAAAGGTCAGTGATCACAAAATGCAGAATTGGGCAACGCAGCGAGAGGAGTAGTGACGGCAACAAAAGATGCTACAAGAATGTAGAGCCTCTCACAAGTGTGAGAGAATCTGAGGACAGGTTTTACCTTTTTTTAAACTCAAAATAGTGGGGGACAGTGGAGTTTAAATGGCCCTAACATTATGCTAAAAGGACAAAATGAAAGACTCAGGTGTAACTAGAAGTGAGCTGGCCTCTCACTTGGCTGTAAGTGTTACTTACTGGAACAGAAGCACGGGGTACTTTTTTAATAAGCACCTGCAAACCACACACTCACCCACCACATGGGGACGCCACACACATCACACCACTCCCACAGCATGAAGAGTTCCCATATGAGAAGACTTGTGAGTGTGTGTTCATCTACTCCTCCAATAATCCCCCTTTAACAGGAAGTCACAGCGGGATCTGTCTGGGGAACATCAGTGTGACTCAACAAATTCAAAGAAAAGACACATGAGATCAATTTGCACAAAGAGCCCCTTGGAGACAAGATCAATCCCTCAAACATGACAAGATGTCTGCTGCTTGTCATGCTCAGCAGGTAGCGTTAGTGATGGAGATGACAGTCAGGTTTCAGCAAAACAAACTTCACCACGCTTTCATCTTTGATCTTCTTTAAAATAATTCCTGTGTGTCTCCGTCACTGCATAGCCTCGAATGTTTTGATGTTTATTTGTTGAACTGTTAGATTGGTGGTTTTATCCAACCTGCTCAACATAACATGAATAAATCTAAAAATGAAATGATTTAAATAGACTGATTCCAATCACATGTTGCTTGGTCTGAAGCCTTCTCTTGATGTAAGGATGTCAATTAAGATGAATACAAAACTGAATTAAATGAACTTTAAAACCGGAACAGTTAAAAAAAAAAAATGTATATCCATCGAAGCAAACCACCACAGACCACAATAAGTCAAAGGTCATAAATGATTGTACCGCCACAACTACAAAACATTTGTAGTGGTTCATTCTGTATTACAAAAACGATAACTTAAGATCTTTCTTGGCATGACAATCTTTCGTCGTTTAACCCAGAAATGATTTGATTATGGTTGTGTCTGTAGTTTTAGTTTTTTTAAAGCAGATTTGTATTTGATCCCACAGTTAAGCATGTGCAATCTTATATAACATGTAAAGAAAATCGCTGTCACATTACTTTTAATATATGAACATCAAAACTATAACTTTTGAAATATTATTTGGGAATTAATAAAAGGTGAGTGTAGGAAAAGCTCTCCATATGTTCCACAGTATAAATTTATCTTGAGCAGTGGCAGAGAGCCACCTTGTGGACAACATTAAGATAAAATCAAATCATTTCTAATGAGTACATTTAATTGCAACCTGTCATCAATATGTGCAGACTTGTTTATCAGTAACCACCAAATATAATAAACAGCTCATTACAAAAATATTCTTCGGGTTTCTAATTAATGACCTTTTTAATTGAACTGAAGTTCTTTAGTGCTGGGAATTTTAGAAATCACTATTCTGTGAGTCTGCAGGATCCCAGAGGAATTTGAGGCATTTAGGGCAAAGCTGCACAGACAATAGAGACCTATACTTTCCAGCTGGACTCCTCCCGACTAAAAGTCAGGTCTGCTCGGCAAATTCGACTAAACACATCAACTTCATCCTACTTTACTTTCCCAAATGACAGGGATTGTGAGTAGAAGAGCTTTCCACAAACAGCAGCAGGGTTACTTTGACTAAGCTCATATTAAAGAGTGATTTGAAATTGAGGAAACTGGTCTGAACCGGGGAGACGTGGTGACAATCCTTTCTATTTCCAGCCCATGCCATCACTCTCACTCAACAAGGATGCCTGTGAAATTGACAAAATTCAAGCGACACATTTTTCTGCAGCAAGACCTTCTGTCATGTAATGCCTGAGAGTTATTTTCCTTTCATATAAACAATTTTGTATTCATAAGAAGTCTTTGAAACAATGTGTAATCAACGCATTATATGTATAAAAAAAAAGCCACTTCAATTCACTGAAGCAGCATTGCCGGCAATCAAACCACTAATTAGTAGTGTTTCATTTGAAGACAAGCAACATTTGAACACCTTAGAGACAAAAACATGCTTTCCTAACAAAAACATACAGCTCCAAATGTATGTAAAGGTCTGTTCTGTGCAGCCTGCCCCTCTGGACCCTCCTCCGCATAGCAGACATAGTTCCCCTAATCCAGCCAGCCAGCCATGGTAACGTGCAACACTGCCCACATGAGCATTGTCTCAAAGTTATGCTGCCAGATCTGAGTTTAAATATAGAGCAGCAGTGGCGACTCACCCTGAGGACCCTGTTGGCTGTTATAACAGGAGGCTCGTCGTTGACAGCTGAAACCTGGATATGCACCGTCTGGGCCGCACTCTGCTTCCTCAGGCCCGGGTCGTTGGCCATCACAGTGAAGTTGTCAGCTAAGGTTTCACTGCTGTCGTGAACGTAGTAAATGAATTCCTGTTCCACCTAGTTAAAGATAATGAAAATGATTAGGGAGCACACGAGAATAGAACTGCAAAACAAGTAAATAACACAATAATGATTAAAGACTCTCAGGCCAATACTATTAGTCCATGTCAGCACATACATATAGGAACGAAACAACTCAATGCATTTGACAATTTTACTAATTAATTAGGAGCACAAACCCGACAGGAGCAAGCGGAGAGATAACCAGAGTAGTGCCATTTTATTCTCATTTTAATTTGGTTATTTAAATATGGATGATTTAGGTTATAGACATTATAGATAAACCTGTAGTCATGAGCCTTGTTGCTTTAGTAGTGCAACCATAATTAATACAACAATATTTATACATGAATGAAGCCTTCAAATGAAATGATATTTACATTTTTCGAGAAAACACCCTCTCCAATAAATTATTCTATGCCTGTAAAATGGCAACAAAAAAATGACCTCTGTGTGTTTTGTGTTGAGGGCATGAAAAATATACCACTACACAAAATAGGAGTGTCTCACCTGCCTCCTGGTGAAAGAGGTTATGGCCACACCGGTATGTCGAGAGTGCTCAATGTGACCGTGCAGCGGGGGCTCAGTCAAACTATACAGGAAGTTGTTTCCAGAAAAGTGTCTGTTGGTGACTTTGAGCACATCTTCAGTGAGAGCCTTGGAGGCGCCCTCGTTCAGCGTGAAATTGAAGACTTGAACTGGGATGAGGCGTGGGATGATGTCAATAGACATCCTAATGCCGTTGACATCAGTCACTCCGTTGGTAGCATCGAGGATGAAAGTGTCGTTCATTTTGTTGGGCTCCGCCTGCATGTACTGGATGTTCCCGCTGTTAATGTCCTCTTGGGTAAACGTCCTGACAGGGGACTGTTTGGTTCCGATGTAGCGCTCCTCCGCATCGGTAAAACGCCGGATAAAGCCATGAGATGGGGCTAGCTTGACTGTGAATACAATCTCAGATGGCAGGTTGTCTTCGTGAGTGACCTGCAGCATTAGAAAACATATTCCCAGGTTACATTGAAAATGTTCTGTGCGTCAGTAAGGTTTAATTTCTATTTTCCTCTAAATGTAACTTGGCATCATTTGAGAACAAAGACTGGTAAGCCTTATGTTTTGAGTTTTTAAGAAGCCCTGAAAACCAAAGCAGTACATACTGCTCTTTTATTGTAATATTAGTGAAATATGTTTTTTTGTATTATAGTTTAGATCATGACAGAAACCATGTTTAATTATGACACCAAAACAACACCACAAGAAGGTTGTTATAATGTTTTATTTTTAGAATAAGCTAAAACATTATAAATGAAACATTGTGCTCAGATCCTATGCATACTATTATTATTATTTGTATTACATTATGTCACGTCTTTAAAAAAGAGGTTTAGTGACCACTGAACAAAAATAACTTTAAAAAACTTAATTAAAAAGTAAAACTTGCCATGAGTAGAATAACTATAGGCGCGTTTACACCAAGTACTTTTCCCACAAAGGTTCCTGAGAACTACGATTTAGTTGCGTTCACACCAAAAAGTCCCAGCTACTAAATTAGTTCTAGAGAACCTTTTTGACCCCCTTTTCAGTCCCTGCTAGAGAGCAGGGACTTTCGTGGGAGAAACATTTTCCTGTGTCTGATTGGCTGGGCGGAATGCAAACCACGCCCCGTCAAACTCCCAAAAACGTTTGTGAAGCCGCCATTTTATTATCCTCGCATTGCATCATTAGCATTAGCCCAGCACAGAAACGCAGAGAGACTAACTTATGACAACACAAAATAAAACATGGGAGCGGTGGAGATGAGGAGGTGTCGGCGTTCTGGCCGTTTACTCGGAAGGCTGCTGGGAGTGAGTCCCAGCAGCTTCTACTGAAGCCAGTCCCTAACTCCGGGGACTTCCGGCCGGGGATTTTGGGCGGCAGTATACGCCGTGAAGTTGTTTGCTGCCTGCCAGTAAACCCAAAGCAGAAGAAGTGACGTCAGCGGCTTCATTTGCCTAATCCACCCCCCAGGAAACTCATTTCCGGTGTGAACGCGATCTGTACTTAGTTCCTGAGAACTAAAGAGTTCTCAGGAACCTTTGTGGGAAAAGTACTTGGTGTGAACGCGCCTATTGCCTTTCTGTTTCTTTCGCAATTCAACTCTACATTTTGTTAGCTGAATTGATGTTGCTTTTTAGTGCAAACTATTTTAAGCTTTATTGTAACATGAAAAACGGGATGAATATGCTACCATAGTATAATTCCATCCCTTATAGAGCTCAATAAGATCCGTTTGCTAAAGCACATACTGCAGATTTGGTTCAATTAGAGCTCCATTAAAGGGTGCAGCCTGTGTGAAATAG